CTACATGGGGGTGGGGTGTAGCCCCGGGGGGGGCCCGGGGTCGGGCCAAAACTGCAATATTGCAGTTTGGCCCAGGGGGTGCAGGCTGCGGCTGCGCACCCCCCTGTATTTTTTATTTTTTATTTTGATTTTTTCATGGATTTTTTTTTTTTTGTTCTTTTTTTTACTTTTTTTGCCGGGGTCAGGGGTGCCGACCCCCGGCCCCCGGGACCCCCGCCGGGGCCCCGGAGCCGGGGCTCGACAACCCTGGTCCAAAATGCCGACATGAAGCGAGTGTCACGGTCGCTGGCTATGTTTTCCGGTACACTGTGGCCGCAAATCCAGCCGGTGTGCAAGAGGCATGCCAGCTTGGGAGCTGTGGAGTAGTACTTGCAAGGGAGAAAACGCGCGTACTTACTCAAACGGTCCAATACCGTGAGGATGCCGTCGTGCCCGAGGCGATCGCGGGGAAATGGTCCGGTGACATCCATGGCCATGGAGAGGCGGGGTTCCCGTGGGATAGGCATCGGGCACAACTCGCCGTAGCGATTGCGATTGCGGGGCTTGCTTCGTCGACAAACTTCGCAAGAGTCACAATACCGAGTGACATCAGTAATGAGGTCGGGCCATCGAAATCGTTGTCGAAGCCGTGCAATGGTGCGGTTGACTCCGAAATGGCCAGCGAGTCGCGAATCATGATACTTGTCGAGAAGGCGAATCCGAAGGCGACGGTCTCGTGGGACACATAGTAAGTCCTTGCCTCTCGAGTGGAGGAGCAAGTACCTGCCGGCAATGCGATAGTGGCTGGGTAGCGGGTGATCCGAAGATAGCTGCGCATACAACGTGGCGAAATCCGGATCAGACTCATAGCCCCGGATGAAGTGTTGCTGGAGTTCCTCGTCGAATGCGAAGGCATGATGTGTCATCGCGCAAAGCTCAGGTCTTCGCGAGAGGGAATCTGCTGCACGAATGGAGAGGCCGGGGAGATGTTTCGGTGTGAAGTCAAATTGGTCGATGAAGTACATCCATCGTCCGATCGTGCTGCTCACCGTATCTTGCGTCTTGTAGTAGGTCAATGGATTGTTGTTCGTGACCTATGTGAACCTACGACGCCCAATGAGGAAGTGCCGCCATCGCTTGAGAGCCATTACGAACCCGAGCAGCTCCTTCTTCCTTGCATCATCAAGCGAATTGATGGGAGGCACTTTGTGGCTGAAATACTCCACAGGGTGTCAGTCGTCACTATCGTGTTGTTCCAAGACTGCCCCAATGCCATAGCCGGAAGCGTCAGTTGTCACTCTCATAGGCAGGGTGATGTCATAGATGCTAAGGACGGGTGCCATGAGCATGGCCGTCTTAAGTGCTTGGAATGACTGGCGTGCGTCGTCATCGAATACTAATGGCACCTTTGGCGATTGTAATCTCGTCATAGGTGCGGCAATCGTTGAGTACCCGATGATGAATCGCTGATAGTAACCCGCCAACCCCATGAATGAACGAACGTCCGTGGTGTTGGTGGGCTCGGGCCATACGCGGACGGCCTTGATCTTGTCCGCAAGTGGACGGATGCCTTGCGGCGTCACATAATGTCCCAAGTACTCCAGCTCCTGCCGCGCGAATTCGCATTTGTCGCGGTTGGCTTTGTACTTGGCTTGTCGTAGCCGCTCCAAAAGGGTGCGCAAGTGTTCCACATGCTCGTCCAAACTCCGGCTGTACACTAGGATGTCGTCGAGGTAGATAAGTACGAATCGATCCAGCATGTGTCGGAACTCCGTTGTCATAGCCGCTTGGAAAGTGGCTGGGGCATTCGTAAGGCCAAATGGCATAACCAACCATTCGAAATGCCCATATCGCGTCTTAAACGCGGTCTTGTAGCGGTCCTCCTGCCGAATCTCGAGTTGGTGATATCCCGACTTGAGGTGAAGCTGCCGAATCGAGTAGAAGAGTCTACCCAACATGGATTAGAGCCTTGTATAGGGCATAGAGTTTCCTCACTTAAGTGGACTTAGCCAACTTCTTAGATGACATCTTTTTGCTCATACTCAATCCGCCTCAACTTCTTCCCATCCTGCTGAGCCAGCACTGTGCCAATCCCATACTGGTTAGCATCAGTGGTTACTATAAAAGGCCTCTGAGGATCGGGGACCATGAGAAACTCGTGATTCATGAGTGCGTGCTTCAATCGTTTGAAGGCAGCCTCACACTTATCACTCCAGTCCCATGCGGTGTCAAGTCAAGTAAGACCTGTCAAAGGAGAGACGACTGTAGAATAATTCTTTACGACATGCCTGTAGTGGCCGCTCATCCCTAAGAAAGATCTAACCTCAGTCAACATCTGAGGATGTGGCTAGTCCCTAATACTAGCCACTTAGAGGCTCTGCGTTTTTCACTGTGATGGCACTGAGGGCTCTATAGTCAATGCGCATCCTCAAACTTCCTCCCTTCTTCGTTATTAACAACACTGGGAATCCGAAGGGAGAAGTACTAGGCCGTATACATCCCTTTTTTGTCAGCTGCTTCAGTTGTCGATAGAGTTCGTCCAACTCGGCCGGGGCCATCCTATAGATTCTTCCCTTTGGGGTTTTACTCCCTGGAATTATTTCTAGGGCCTGGACTATCTCCCTTTCAACGACTCCTGTGGGCTTCTTGAACAGATTAGGGAGCTCAGCGACGATATGCTCTATTTCTGGGGGTGTTTATAGTATTTGTAGAACGTTGCTATACATAAGCACGCATAGGACTCAAACAACCTACTAGCCTCTCACTTAGCTAGTTTAATGGTTCTCCTATCAGGCAACTCATGCTTCAACATTTTCTTGTTCCAGTCTAGTACATTCCTAACGGCATGTCGAATGGCAACTCGTCACTAATTCGGAACGAAATCCTATGATTAAGTTCCCCTCCTCAGAAAGAGAAGGTCCAGACTACGTCCTTGACATAGTCTTTCACTCACTACTAAGCGCTCGTCGTTGGCCAAAGTAGATGCTACTGGTCTACTAAGGTGCTGTACCTGGTCCTGTGGTCGCAACCTTTCCAAAAAGTCAGAGCTTATGTAGTTCCGTGTGGAGCCGATGTCAACGAAGGCTCCACATTTGCGGCCTCCTATACCAACTTCCACACAAAATGTTCCCCTCTAGGACCACAACTTTGTGCCACCCAGGATTCTCTAGGGTCCCTGTCTGACCACTCACTCTGCGAATCCTCTAAGGCCTCGGACATATCTAATGTACAAAGCACATTTGGTACAGATGAGTCTGCGGGGTGACTAAAGAGTCATTAGCCTTGGCCAACTCATGAAGTGGGGAGCGTATTCCCACTTCACCATGAGTAGAAGCAGCTAAAACTTCCACCGACCTCACGTGTTTCCCGAGCTAGAAGCCTCGGAAGAAGGCACCCCTCCCTTAGGGGGTATCTTCTGCGTGACCTTCGCATTCTTGCACTTATGCTGGGTGTGCTCATTCTCACCTAGTTAATGCAAGCTCCATGCGAACGGCGGTCCCGCCACACTGATCTAAGCCAGCCTTAACCCAATCACCAACTTTCGACTGATTGGAGGCGGCCTGCCCTTGACTCTTTTGATGGCCCTTCCCTCGGCCACCCGCCTTAGCCTTTTAATGCCGCGGCAAGGGTGCTACCCTCAGCATGGTCCTCACCGTCATCCTTTGGTGCGTCCATCAGGTCAGAAAGGTCATTGACCTCCGTTTGAGTCCCATCGGAAACAATCATCAGTCGACTACCCTTCTTCTTCCACTCATGTGGACTCTCCTTTCTTCTTCCGTCTACTGAAGTGTGATAGGCCAATTGTTTTCTCAGAATCTCAGGGAGAAATAGCGAATGCTTGGGACAACAATGAGATTCTCAACGGTAGTCGTAAACTCCCTGACTCATTTCCCCTGTCCAAGCTTTTGCATGGCGTTTGTTGCCTGCTGAGCTTGCTGCGGATTGTGCCAGCGATCTTCTACCCTGTCGATGAACTCTTCTAGAAATAGGGTCTTACCCCAATATCCTATGCGTCGTCCATATCCTGCTTTCGCTATGAACACACTAAACCAATTTGCTGCTCTACCTTCAAGGTAAGAGGCAGCCGTTATCACTTCCTCTTCCGGCAAGGTTCTCTTGGCCCTCACCCACATCGGGACCGATCTCAACCTGAGGTTGAGATCCTCCTCCTTTTCTCCTGTGTAAGGAAAGGGAGCCCTCTTCGGGGTCTTTGAGAACAAGGAACTTGCTGCTGTTCCTGTGGTGGAACAGGTTGTTGTGGCGGTGATTGAGTAGCTATCACCGCCTGACTAGAAGAAGAAGAAGCTACAGTCTGTGCTGCCGCTGCTAACGAACCGCTTGGTTGTGTGCCAGCTTGGGGATAGATGCCTATCATCGCCAACTTAGGGAGTGGCGATCTATAAAACTGCGAGCAGCCTAGAGCTTAGCTGCTGCAACTGAGTCAATGTCTAATCCAATGTGTCTTGCATGAAGTCCGTTCTGCTGACTACGCGTGCTTGTAGTGAGAGCAAACTAGACCTCAACACCTTCCTTGGGTCAAACAACGCTGACTCATCCTTTGCCTCTAGCGCAGTTTTGTCGGTACTCTCTCCAACCTGACTATCCTATCTCTTCTCTTTCTCTCTGTGGCTTCCTGAAGTTCCCTTGCTAGCCGTGCACGGATCCTTTCGACTTGCTGGAGTTCCCTCAACTCCCGCTGGCGTGGGGTCAACGGGCTTAACTGCGAGCCCGCCATTTGACTAGTGGAGACCACAGAAACTACGGTACTAAAGATGCCCGGGGACCAGGTGAGCATTCCCAACTGTGTCCCTGACGAGGTCCCAGACGAGATGGCAGCATTGGATGCTGTTGCGGTAGCCATTGCAGCTGTGGCGGCCTGTCTAGCTGCTACGTTAGCTGCTGCTACCAGCGGTGCAACTTCTCTTGCTGTTCTCTCAGCTGCTGCTTGTGCACGGTCTCTTGCTCCGGCTCTAAGCCGTCGCTTGACTCCGGTACCTAGGATCTAGAACGCGAACAGAACTCTCTTTAGTTCCGACCGTGAGTCTCTCATCGTCAACTCTACCCTCATCGCTGTCTGACCCACTCAACAGTTATGCAAACAGTATCTGCACCACAACTCCCTACTGGAGTCCTACCACAGCATGTGTCTGACCAGCTCTAAATTTTCTAAAAATAAATATGAGTCCGGCAGGTTACTTCACCACTGTCAAGCGATTGTCAAACAATATTCACATAGACTGTACACATAATCTCATCCTATCGTTGATTAGTTCACTTACAGCAGCATTAGATAGAACTGGCTATGGTAGTATACAACAGTCCTACTCTAATCTGTCTGTGAGGTGTTAGCAACTGTCAACCAACTAATCAAAATATAAATAAATTATGTAACAGATGTATGCATAGTGGAAATAGTTGTTTCAATAGTTGAGCACCAATTGGAACCTACCCTCCCCTCCATTCAACATACCGGAGAGCATCATTGAGCAGCGGTGTCTTTGTGTGTAATGTCGGCCCACCCCTGTGCCCCAAGTCATTGTCGAGCAAGCCAGCCCATCCACTCTTATTTACCCTCGTACGGAACGAGCCTTACTACCCGGTGTGATCTGGCTGATCAGGAGGGATTTAAGGAGAGCCCCCATCTCCTCAGGAACTATTTAACGTTGCAGACAGGACGACGATCACAGCCAGTATCAACACCGAGTCCCATACCAGAAGTATTTATAGACGGTCTGGTAAGCGTCTCTTATGGGCTGGCACACCCGGCACGACTCCTACAGCGCAGCAAAGTGCCAAAATGGACAAGCAGCCATCACATGCGTGACCTACTCCCATTGGGTTGGCATGGTGACCGTGACCCAATGCTTCGACCAGGGCCCTTTAGAGGAACCGCCCTTTCTCCTTCCAGATGCTTCCGGGAGGATTGTCGTATCTCAAGGTAGCGCGCATTCGACACCTCACCAAAAGAGAGGACTCTCAAGATTGAACTCTCCTCCTCACGGTAAGAAGAGATTGAGAGTGTAGATAAGGTAAGGAAACAACGTACCTGAAGATAGCTGCCCCCAACCACAGATTTCTCACCAATTGAGCTGAATGTGCATTTGATGACCGGTCGTTAGCCTCGGTACCACCCACAATACAATGCAGTGCCACCTCAGCCAAATGCCCCATCAGCATGCTCTCATCACCATACATACAATCTGTCGTTACCACGGCCTTCCAGCCGTACGGCCTTCCGGCGCACACCTCTCTACCCAGGTCGTGCGCCTAATGTTGGCCTGACGTCACAAGAACCAACTGCGAAGAAGCATCGTCAACGCACCAAGTCTGTATAACGCCAGCGCACCAAGGTAAGTGGCGAATCGAACCAGCTCCGATCCCAAATTGCAAGGAACATGAATGTGGACGAAGCACAAAAATCCAGATTGCAAAATCACACTGAAGTCCAAGTAGTCAAAGCAAGAGCAGATAGCACAATGGAACCGAGTAACCATCCATTTGAGAATGATACAGAAGAATCGTGAGTCAATGTCCAAGCCCAATCGGGCAGCCCGGCTATGGCCTTCACCTCCGAAGAACCACCTTCGCCCTTCACCTCCGAAGAACCACCTTCGCCCTTCACCTGCCCGGCTATGGCCGCCAGCGCCCTGCGCCCAGGCAGCGCCCTACCACTTAGCGCTAGCTTGTCTCCCTCAGCCGCAGCGCAAGTGCAGCGCTACAATGCAGCAGCGTGCCCGCAATGCCTGCCTTGGCCAAGATCCCTGCCCACTCGCCCACCCTGCCTATATGCCAGTGTTGCGTGTGGGCGGCCTCCCTTGAGCCTGCGCCTGGGCCCCAGTACCTGTACCCAGGCCCAATGCGGTTGGGGCCCAGGAGATGCAGTTGCGCCTCTTTCATCAAGGCCTGCGGCCAGATTCAGATAGTGGACCGGTTTCCCATTGGCATTT